AGCACGTGGTAGAAGATAACTTTTCAAAGCTTTAACTTAGAGCCAAAAGCCCAAATTTTATCATTGACAAATGAAATTTGCCAGCTTTTTCTTAGAAGTTACCAACTCTTATCATTCACTTCCAAGAAAATGTGCTGAATGCCAATGCTGAATGGCCATGGTTTGCCAGTTGTACTTTGAAGTAGTGTTGCATGCAACAGTGGCTACCTAGTTCAGCATGCAACTTGGTTTCCTCCTGGAAACAGCCACTGTGCTTCAATTTGAGTGGGGCAGGCAACCTGTAGTCCTCAGCTTGAATTGCTACATGTCTTCTCTCTGTTCTGTAACTGTGGGGCATCAGCTGACTCATTAGTTAGTCTGGAGAAACTTTCCATTTAGAAGGTAGCTTGCTTCCTAAAAACTTTATGCAAATAACTGATTAGCACTTTGGCCGAAGTTCCAGCACTGTGCTTTAGTCTCAACCAAGCATAAAGGGCTCAAACTGAGTTGCAGAGAAAAGTCTGACCAATAAGCTCCTTGTTTGGACAGAAAATTATTGTGCAAGTCTGGGGTCAAGATAAGTGAGCTGAATGCAGTTTATTCAAGGAAACACTCACCTGATGTCTACCTTTGCCCCATAGAACTCCAGTGGGAAGCTGACTGACTTCCTGAGCTTCTACACACTCCCCTCCACAGTTATGCACCACCCTGCTCACAAGAGCCTCAAGGCTGCATACTCCTTCTACAACATTCACACAGAGACACCCCTGCTGGACCTCATGAATGATGCACTCATCATAGCTAAGTTGGTGAGTGCCTTGTTGTTTTATGTGCTATTTGATTCTCCTGATCTATAGGCCAACTTGCATAAAATACTCTTTGGATTCGTTCTTCCTTATGGAATTCATCCAAGATTTGCCATGCACACTTATGGCAGTTAGAGGACAACTTGTAGAAGTCAGTTCTCTCCTTCTACCATGTGGGTCCTGGGGATTGAAGTGAGGTCATCAGGTTTGGTGGCAAGTGTCTTTACCCACTGAACCATCTCACCAGACCACAAATTAGAAACTTTCAACCCCTATATGATACATAAAGAATATAAGAAAACAGTAGTCCATAATATCAGGAAAATACATGAGAAAAATAGTTATGTGAATATTACCCACAGTTGTTTTTTTTTAATATTTTATTATTTTTATTTTATGTATACAAATGTATTGCCTGCATGTATGTGAGTGCACCCGTGTCGTGCAATGCCGCAGAGGTCAGAAGAGGGCTTCAGATTCTCCTGGAACTGGAGTTAAGGATGGTTTGTAGCCGCCATGTGGGTGCTGGGAATCGAACCTGGGTCCTCTGCAAGAGCAGTCAGTGCTCTTGACCTCTGAGATCTCTCCAGCCCCCACAGTTGGTTTTTAATGTGTATTTTTACTGAAGTTTTGTGCATGTCATATAATAGATTTTAATCAAATTTAGACTCCTCCTCTGTAGCCCCCAACAGATTTCATGCATTCTATCATATATTTAGTTAAGACCTATCTGGTCAAGCATTTGTACCAAGATGTCCCCCAGTGCCAGTTCATCCACTGGAGTCTAGTGAGCCTCTCGAGAGTCACTCTCTTAAAGATCTACTCTCCTTCTCACCCCACAGTAATCAGTTGCCAACAGTTCCTTGGCTAAGGTTGGGCCTGCTTCCCATTTCCCCACATCCATGCTAGGTTTTTTTGTGATTGAGTCAGCATGGGTCTTGTGCATGCTGACACCATTGTTGTAAGTTCATCTGAGCAAGTTCCCAGAGGCCTGAAAGCCTGTTTCCTTATGTTCATGCACAACCCTGGCTCTTAAAATCTTTCCCCTCCTCTTCCGCAGTAGTCCCTGAGCCATAGGTGAGTGAGCTTTAATATAGGAGTCCGATCCAGGGACTCACACTCTGTCATATGAGGAAGCTTCAGTGGTGAGAGTTGGAAGTGTGTATTAGTTTTTTCTCTACCCCCTGTTCCACTATGTTCCATGAACCTTAAGGTGTAGAGGTTCCACTGTAAATGTGTCACTTAAGGCTGGGCATCTCACAGACATACATTCTTAGTGTGTGACCAATTGTACAACTCTGTAATAGCCTCCATATGTTGGCAAAAAGAAGCTTCTTTGGTGAATGGAATATGATATACTTGTCTGGATAGTAGGCAGGTCTGTGGCAGGCAGATCAGGAAGGGGGCCAAGGGCAAGACAGGGTTGGGGACAGCCTGTGGAGGGTCTAACAAACTAAGCTGGAGATTTGAGCTAGTCTGGGTGCAAGGGATCAGGATGCAATCATATTGTTAAGTTTTTGACTCAACAAAATAGTCTGAGTTTTAAGACCAATGGAATTAAATACAAAATGCACTTTATCTGTTACTTTTCTATTCCCTCAGTCTAGGGATTATGATATTAAAATTTAAATTCTTGCCACAAATAAATATTTGTCCTTAAGAAATTAGAGGACAAATAGTTGAGGTTGGGGAAAATAGCTCAGATTCGCAGCTATTTTTATTTTGGTTTTGTTTTAAAGATTATTTTTAACTATGTATGTGGGAGGGAGGGAGGGATAGGTGTACATGAATACAGGTGCAGGCGGGGGCCAAGTTGTTGGAACCCCCAGAGCTGGATTTATAGTCGATTGTGAGCAACCCAACATGGGTACTGGGAATTGAACTCAGGGCTCTCTGCAACAGCAGTATGCACTCTTAACCTGATGAGCCATCTCTCCAGCCCCCCTCACAGCTATTTTTATAATATAATTTTATAAGACAATTCTTAACCTGTTCTTTATAGAAATTTAGCCTGAATATAAATGCACATTTAACCTATTGATAGAGAAATTAAATGTTATACTGATCCCTCATGCAACAGAGGGCCAGGAACACAAATGGCCAAAGCATAGAGAATTAAGAGACTGCAGATGCATAGAAACCCACGACTCAGGAGCCATTGTGGAAAAAGGGGCAGAAAGATTGTAAGAGATCCATGACCATATGGAAATAGAATCCTACAGGCTCCTGGGACCTTGCTCATATGAACCTACAGCATGGTGTCAGCATGCATAAGAACCATGCAAACTCAAATAGACAAACACCCAGCACAGGACTGTCGAAATGGGCAACAGGTCCCAATCTTAGTTGAAAAATTATTGGCAGCTGATTACTGCTGGGTAAGGAAGAGATGACCTTCTCAAAGGGAAGAACACTAGATAGGCTGACTAGAATGAGGGCATGGGAGGGGACCAGTGGGGAAGAGGGCATAAGGATGATTAAGATGTTCTGTATGAAATACAGAAAAATTAAATAAAAAAATTACAAAAAAACCATGTCGCACAGCTTAGGTGTAGTTTTTAAAGATGGTCTCAAGTAGCCCAGACTGGCCTCCAGCTTTCTTTATATCTGGGAGTGACGTTAAACTCCTGACACCCTTGCTTCCGCCTTCTGAGTGCTAGGATGAGGTATGTTAAAAAACAAAGAAAGAGAAAATATGCTAGTCCTCTGATGTTTTAAATTTAAACACTTTTTATCCTGGCAGAAAGGATTTGATGTATTCAATGCACTAGATTTGATGGAAAATAAGACCTTCTTGGAAAAACTCAAGTTTGGTATAGGAGATGGCAATCTGCAGTATTATTTGTACAACTGGAGGTGTCCGGGAACAGATTCTGAAAAGGTAAGCATTTAACCCAGACAGTTCCATACTAACTTCTCTTAGGATGAAGGGGGCTTTTTTATTTATTTATTTATTTATTTAATTTATTTATTTTTTGGTCTTTTTGAGACAGGGTCTCCCTGTAGCCCCAGGTGTCCTGGAACTCACTATGTAGACCAGGCTGGCCT